TTAAGTAAAAAAAAAACTCTTTTAATATAAGATACTCATATATCTCTTTACTATTTTATGTATTCAATAATATATAGTTATTTGTAAAATACTCTATTATCTGGCTGTAAAATTTAATGTTTCAGCTTCTGGCTTCGAAAGGAGCCCAGAAACATTAAATTTTACAACCAGATAAGTAAGTTATTGGATGCTATGTTCCTAATAACGGTATTATACGAAAGCTTACGACGATCGGACTATTAAAATGACAAGTTATTTTGGTGGTGATTAAGTTCATCAAATAACAGTTTTTTGATAGTAATGTAATTACCATCAAATTACTGATCATAGTAAGCTATCGGATGATTAAAAAAAACTTAATAACGCCCAATATAATTTCATTAAAAATTATTGTATAACGTGACCTAAGTAAAAATAATTAATTTACATAACGATATAAAAATACTACTTTTTTTTATACTAATCGATATTTTAACTTTTTGGAAAACAATGATGCAAGTTTTACGGATCCCAAAAATTTTCAAGATAATGATAATATGTTTTCAAACCATCAAACTTTAATCTAACTTAATATAATAACGAAAATGAACTCTAACCTAACAATGGCTGTTTAGCGCTTAAGGTCTTACTTTTTGTGTAAACAGCATCTGAAAAATTTAAAATTATTAGTTTATTTAAACTATACGTATAAACTAGTATTACAGGCCACACAACAGGAACATTACGTGTGTGTGTCAAAACTAATAAGAAATGACAAGGTACAGTGTGTATCGGTATGATACGGAGATACCGATACTATCTTTTTATGACAAAGTCTAAATCAAAAAGGCGTAATATTTGTTTGCATGCAAATAAATACATACAAGCGAATGGGAAAATAAATTTATTATATGCATATGCGACCTTTAATGAACGGACATTCTATACAAATTTCCTATTAAGATAATTGCTCAAAAATATATAAGATGACAGCAAATTTGAAAAATTTTGAACAATCTAATGATTGAACAAAGGCCAGATATTTAACTTTGTAAGTAGATTAATAATAATAATAATAATAATAATAGGTACATTTTTATATATTATCGACTTTTTGAAATTTTATTAATGAATTTGCATTCCCCAAAATTTTCAATCGGTGGATTTCATTGTGTAAATAGTTGTTGAATAATTGATGCTAATTGTTTGTGATTTGATGGATGTAACAAAGAAAATCGCTATACTAGTACAGGTTAAATTAAATTATACATTTGGCAATCTGATACCGGAGGCTTTTTAAACAATTTCCTTATTTGCTATTTTGTTTTTGTGTATAAAATTGTGAATTTAAAGCTATAAGATTTTTTTTTTTTTTTTTGGTTTTTTTTTCTTTTTTTTTCCCTTAAAATGAGCGATGTTGGTATAGAAGGAAAAAATCATCGATCAGAAAATAAAGTTAATCGACTTTGTCCAGATTGTGATCGTCCGAGGATATCATATGGATGGTGTAGAAAATGTGAATCAAGATGTATGGAGAAAAAATTTCCATTCTGGACAAGTGGAAATAAAAATTTAGATAAATTAATTCAACGTAGTCAGATCTTATCAATGCAAATATGTGATTATTTGGAATTTATAAAATTTAAAGATATAGAATTTGGTAATATAATTGCTAAAGGAGGTTTTAGCAAAGTCTATAAAGGTGTTTGGATAGACGGCCCGAGATGGAATTGGGATGAACTCGGGGACATTTGGTGCCGTAGCGGCCCAACAGAGGTTGCTCTAAAAGAACTTGATAATTCTCAAATATTATCATTTGAATTCCTAGAACAGGTATTTTATAAAATAAATCTTCTTAATTTTAATTTTAATTAATTTATTTTCGTTTAATTTTTTAGTTTAAAAAATATTATCGCTGTTTACAAAGTGGGACAATGGCTGATTGTTTCGGAATTACAAGAAATGATGAAACAGGTTGTTATATGTTCGTTATGCGATATTATGAGAATGGCAACCTTTATGAATTTCTTGATAGAAATAAAGGAATTATTAGCTGGAGAGATATGGTAGACATGTTATGGGGAATTGCGAGTGGATTGGAAAAAATACATACTGAAAATCTATTTCATTCGAATCTTCATGGGGGAAATCTCTTAATAGAAGATGAAACGATTTCAACTGATGCAAAAATTGCCGACATTGGACTTCATGGAAAGGCTAATGCTCCAATTCAACCTGGATATATTATTGGAGTTTTACCTTTCATTGATCCGCAAGTATTGATTGGAAATAATCAACCAAATCAAGCTTCTGATATTTATAGTTTTGGAATAATAATGTGGGTTTTAGCAACAGGTCTTAAACCGCATCACAATAGAGCTCATGATTTACAACTTGCTTATGAAATCTGTTATGAAAACTTACGTCCGGAGATAAATGAAGATCTTAAATCCGAAATGCCAATAGAATATTATAATTTAATGATACAATGTTGGGACCCATTACCAGAAAATCGACCGACAGCAAGTAGATTAAATGAAATATTAGGTGATTGGATTTCTGACATCTGTGATAATCCAGAACCTTCAGAAATTTCGAATAATTTCGGTGATGCAGAAGAGAGAAGATGGGAACTCATTGGTAAACAAAATGAAGAAAAAAATTTTCCTTCCTCTTTTGTTCACAAGGATGCCATTTACATTAGCCGTATTTTCGACTTTTCTAATTTAAGACAATTAAATAATCAATATGTTTAAATTTTCCGTGAATCTCAAATAACACAACTTCGATACAAAAAACTTTAGAAATGCAGATATTTGTTTATATGATGTATGAAATTGCAAATTAATATAGAGATGTTAGTCGGTCCAAAAAAATTGTTTGCATCGATGATGATGTTTTTTCTGAGGGTTATTAATCTAACGTATTTTATATTAATTTTTAACTAGAGTTTAGATAAATTGTAAAATTCTTTTTGAGGTTAAAAAAATCAAAGATGGTATTTAGGATCACATAACTATCCTAAACATCAATGGATACCGACACACTTCATCTTTTATAAGCTATTATCAAATTTCTTTAATAATATAAGAGGTTATTTATAGTGAGATTAAATAGATTTAACTTTATAATGTGGGACCGACTAATATCTTTATTTCAATATTTCAATATTATTAATTTTAGATTAGGGAAGTGACAGATATTACGTAATATCTTTGGGTCTGGAGGATATATTATTATTAATCGAAAAAAAAAAAAATCACAATAGTTTAGAATCCCAAAATACGAAATCCCAACTGTCTAATAATCTAAAACAAATCTCCTAACTAAATCAACCTTAAAGCAATCCAGACAGTGATATATAGAGATAGAATTACTAACTGTCCAGGATTATTTTTTTCGGGTTTAGTTTTCGAACTATTGACCTCTCGGAATAATTGACCTTTCGGGATTACGTTAGCGGGATTTAGACCTGTCGTGATTCTATACCTCAAGATTTTGTTGGGCTCCCTTTTTAATTAGATATTATGACGTTCCACCGGGTCTCCAATTCTTACATTGTTTAAAAAATTCCGTAAAAGGAGGTTATAGCATATTCGCTGATTCCTTTGCAGCTGTTGAAAGACTCAAAGCAGACTATCCCTCCGATTACTTACTTCTAACCAAAATTCCAATAACATTCCACTACCTGAACGATGGTCATCATATGCATTATAATAGACCTGTAATTGAACTGGATCATTTTAACAATTCGTTCTATGTAAATTATTCACCGCCATTTCAAGGACCTTTCGAATCACTTTTACATGAAAATGATACCAAAATTTTAGAATTGTATCAAGCATATAAAAGATTTTGTTCATTTGTTGAAGATCCTAACCTAAAGTTTAAAGTAAAGTTGAATCCAAATGAATTAGTAATATTCATGAATCGAAGAGTATTACATGGTAGAACCTCATACGATAGTCAAAGTGGAGAACGACATTTAAAAGGAGCATATTTGGATTTTTCTGAATTTAAAGATAAATTTAGAGTTTTATTGACAAAAAGATAAATTTAGGGTTTTATTGGCAAACAACGACAATATATCGTTGACTGGTTGGCGTGTAGCTTAAATACTAGGAACTAGAACTACTATAAATTGGAGTATACACTTTTTATAATTAAAGAATTAGCTAAAATCAATTTACTTTCTTCCCTCCACTTTCATAAATATTTGGTTCATTTTGATTAGTTATATATGAATTTTTACATTTACCCTAAAATATCATATTAACTAAAATCTAACACGTTTCTTATTACCTTTCTAATTTTATTTATTTTTTTATATCGATTTTTTTTGTTTATTATTTATGGTTTTTTTTATCTCCATTATTGGTCATAAAAATCATTTCACGTGTGTAAACGCGTAAATTTTATCAAAATATCTGATATGAGAATCAAAACGTAATTATTACACGCGTTGAACAGACATCAAATTTCAAAATTACGTTTCGAGCGGTAATGTAAATTAAACAGTGAAAAGAATCAAAATCATAGCTATCTATGCATTACTATGACTAAACATTAATGTCCGGAGTGTAGCGAAGGGGTTATAACATTTCTTATTAATGTATTCATTCAATTTATTAATTGATGTTAGGGAGCATAGTTAATGAAACTATGTATGAAAATACAATAGAAATCGGTAAAGAATGAACCGGATTAATTTGTTTAGGCAACATTAGATAGCAAAGTTTCGTTGCTATTTATTTTATTTCCCAGATTTCCAAAATTTTCAAGACCTGCTCTATTCGGATCTTTACATAATTTTTTACCAATTAGAATTTCCAGATTCTTTGATTTCCCACATAGGTATACACCTTTTTTAAACAGTTGTAAAATTCCCGACAAAATATAATTCCAATGCGAAAATTTCACTGACATCATTTCTCGACAGTCATATTCTTGACAATCATATCCACGACAAAATATTTGATGACATAATAGATAATCTGAATTTATATTCACTTAATGCTAATCTCAAAGGAGCTACCCTAATATTAACCTGACAGTTATGTATCATATTGTCGAGGAAATATAGTCTTGCCCTGACAGTTATGTATCATATTGTGTCTTGGTTGGGAAACGTTTTGTTGGGATTGTAGAATTTGCTGTCAGGGAAATGAGCCGTCGCAGAATGTTATTGTGGGGAATTTATTATCCGGGATGTAAATCTGGGAAAATGGTTTGTGATGGGAATATGATTCAGGTGGAAATTGAACATTTCAGAGCAATGACAAGTACGCTAAAAATATCCAAGTATCATATAAACGACATCACTAACTGCAATAATAAGATCTTTAGCGGTTTGTGAAATAAAGGTTTTATAAGAGAATTTTTCTCCAATATTTAATCAATTGGGAAAAATTATTTTGAAATAAAGGGATATTCTTGCGTTTATTATTTTTTTATTGAGAACATGAACATTTGCGAGACACATATTGGCTTACAGTATTTGTATAAAATTCAATAACTGATCCATCGGTGTAAAAAACAAATTGGTGTTGATTATGGTTGTTTGGTAAATTGCTTCAAGTTGTTGAGTAGCTTCATTAGAGTTAAATATTGTAGTAATTGAAGATGAAGTTATTTGTAAAG